ACTATCTGGTGCTCCTGTATTTCCAGCACTTGGGAAGCAGGAGCAGAAGAAGCTGCACGTTTGAGGACAGCCTGGTCTACAGAGCCAGTTACAGGCCAGCTTGGGCTACAGAATGAGTCTTTGTTTCAGAGAGAAACTAATAAGATGGGAGTTTCTCTTCTTTGCCACTATATTCAACCTGAGATTCCCTTATATTTGATGTGAATTCTATTTATTTATTTATTTATTTATTTATTTATTTATTTATTTATTATTTATTTGTCTTTTTTGACACATGTTCACCCTGTACCCCCAGCTGGCCCTGAACCTGCTATGTAGAACAGGCTGACTTGAACTCAGAAAGATCTGCCTGCCTCTGTTTCCCAAGTGATGAGATTAAAGATCTGTGCCACCATGCCCAGTGCTGTGAATTCCTTATAGAGAGTATATAATATAATCATTTTCTTTTTCTTTTTATATTTTAGTAGCATATTTGTGCCTTTTGCTTAGGGAATACTATCCTTTGATAACGTAAGAGATCACTGAAGGGAAAGAACACACTATTACCATTCTGTTAGTTTTCCTGTATTTTTATGTCTATTATCAACTTTTTCTCTGTTATATTAATAAATACATGTATTTATGGTTATAATATATTTTCATTCCTTATAATTTTATTTTCAGTATGTGCTATAGATATTTTTTTTTCATACCACATGGATTGTAAAAGCCACCAGAATATTAAAATAGTCTATTTCAATTTGTTATAATTCCATACAGAAGCTATGTTTGAGATTGTGCTGTATCGTTTTCACATGATTTTATGAAGGTCCATGCTGATTTATATTGTAGGTTCAAGAACCTGGATTCCCCCCTTACAGGGAGTCTGCACTCTTCCTCTGACTCTTGTTTCTGGAGTTTGCTAGTGTTTTGCACCTATTGAATTGACCTTCTACCTAGAAAGTGTTGGAATCTCAATGCCACTTAGATTTGGATTTCTTTGTCATTGCAGATGTGGCACATTTCTACATTGTATTTTTGGTGAGCAATTCTCCTTTGAGAATGTTCTCTTCCACTCATTGCTCATTTGTTAATGGATTATTATTTGTCTGTAATGTTTTGCATTCTTGGTATATTCTGCTTTCCATTTCTTTTCCTTATCAAGAGCTGTCAATGAATTTATCAAGAATGGATTATGTCTTAGGAAAAATTTAGATTTTCCTGAGTCCTGGGCATTGTGGCTCAAGGCTTTATTGCCAGCACATGCAAGACAGGTGTTATGTTTGTGAATTCAAGGTCATGTTGGCCTATATAATAAATTTCAGGCCAGCAAGGGCTATACAGGAAGGCAATGTCTTTAAAGAATTAAATTATTTTCTGCCTTCTCTTTAATTCTTGTAATTATTTCCATTTCTTTGCACAGAATTTTTTTGTTTGTGTTTTTGAAATAAGGTCTCCCTGTAGGTCCAGCTGGCCTGGAACTCTCTATGTAGACCATGCTGGCCTTCAACTCACAGAGATCCTCCTGCCTCTGCCTACTGAGTGCTGAGACTAAAAGCATGCACCGCCACACCCAGCTTGTGCAGATTTATTTTATGCTATTTTTTTTTTTTGTCTTTTTGAGACAGGTTCCCCTATAGCCCCAGATGTCCTGGATTGACTATGGAGACCAGGCTGGCCTCGAACTCACAGAAATCCAACTGCCTCTGCTTCCAGAGTGCTGGGATTAAAGGCGTGTGCTACTGCGCCAGGCTTATGCTATTGTTTTATGTTTTGCTTTTTGACAATTAGTCCTCTGCTTGTTTTACAGACAGTGATGAAGAGGATTTTTCCTGTGTTTCAATAAACACTTCCCACAAATAGGTTTAGTTTTCCTGATCTCCATTTTGTTTTGATCACCCATTTTATTGGAGTTCCCTCTTCATGTATATATGAGAGTCAGTGTTCGGTAGCTTTGTAAAACACTGGACCTTTTCTCTGAGTCCCTCCATAACTGTACTATCCTGTTTGCTAAGAAGAAGGCTTTTTATTTATTTGTTTGTTTATTTGGTTGGTTTGTTGTTTTACAAACACAGAAAAAAACTGAATTCTTTATAAGTGTAATTTTGCTGTATGGGTCTTCTGTATAAATTCAAAATCGTGACTCATTTACACATTTCAGAGAATAAAGTTTGATAAATTTTGTTTCAGTTTAAATACTTTATTTTGGCCAGAAGACACAAAGTTCTCTATGCTGTCTCTTTCCTAATGAGGTCAGTTTGAAACACTATTATATATCATTTATGATATCTTACCTGAGCCCATGAAATTGAATTATTATTTAATTTCCTTTCTTGCAGATTTATCAGCCAATTACAGCCAACCACTTTTCCAATGGGAGAATGCACAAAGTTTATTACAGAAAATATTGTCAGGAACCCATGAAAGCTGTGTACTTGATTTCCCTTTATAGAAAGACAAAAAATACAGTGGTAAGTGCATATAGTTCAGACAATACAGGTTTAGAAATCAGTAGTATGCAGCACTGCCCACAATATTCCTGCCTCAAATAATATAAGGTATTTCATGATCATCGAATTACTTAATTTACTTTCATGTTTTTAATAATCTCATGTATTAGTAAGCAAAGATCTTATGAAGTTTTTAACAAGAATTTACCATTAAATGAAATTTGTATGTTCTGAACAATGATGTTCATTGCAAAAAAAAAAAGGAAATATTTTATATGTAATACTAGATTATACTATCCTTTGTCATTTCTGAAAAAAAAAAAGATTTATAAGGGAATGAAATTCTAAATATATTGAATCAGAATCCTTTTTCCTTGGTCCAGGATTATTTCATCAAATGTCATTTCCATGTTATGCTGAACTGCGCAATTTACATGGGAATGAGAAGATTGTTACAAATCCTTAAGACAGTAGGTTTTTGTGAGAATTTACACAATTATGGTGAATGATGAAATGCTGTTACTGAGAGCTCTATTCTAAGTAATTAACAGTGTACTTATCTCAGAGAGCACATAAGAAAATGCAATATGGATCCTGTTTATTGGTGGATTAAGCTCTATTCTAACTGAACTCATTTTCTAGAGAAACTTTGTACTTGTGATAAAAAAAGAAAGTCTTGGATCAATGTTCACAGGATAGTGTTGATCAGCACCTGAACATAGATAAGAAGTCTTATAAATATAATCACCTTGGCCAAATATTTCATGTGTTTTCCCAATTTACAATTGATAAAATACATATGACTGAAAAATCTGACAAATTCAGATGTGCTAAATACAGAAATGCCTCAGTTGCACCACTGAGCCCAAATGAACATAACAGATTGCACACTGCAAAAGAACTTTGCAAATGTGACAAATCTTTAAATTTCTATTCCAATATTAGTCTAAAATCTTAGAGTCAACTCTGGAAAGAAAGAAGAATATAAAGAAGGTGTTACATCTTTTGGCTCTACTTATAAAGTGGTCCAACAAAGCATCCATAGTGAAGAGAAGCAACATAAAAGTAAGAAATGTGGAAAATTCTCAAACCCTGATGAATATCAGAAAACTCATACTGGAGAGAAACCCTATGAATTAAAAGAATGTGACGATTCCATTCATCATATCTCAATACTTAAAAGCCTTTACAAAAACATTTATGGAGAGAAACTTCACAAGTGCAAAGAGTGTGGAAACTCCTTCTATCATTTGTCCTACTTTCGATGCCATTACAGAATCCACATTTGAGAGAAGCCTTACAAATGTCATGAATGTGACAAACTCATTACCTTTTGTTCAAGTCTCAGAAAACATCAGAAAATTCATACTGGAGAGACCTTACAAATGTAAGGAATGTGACAAATCCTTTGTCTCATGTTCATATATTAAGTCACATCAGAGAATTCATACTGGATTTAAACCTTACAAATATAAGGAATGTGACAAACCCCTTGGTTGTCAAATCTTAAGTCACATAAAAGAATTCATACTGAAGAGAAACCTTACAAATGCAAAGAGTGTGGCAAGTCCTGTAAGTGACTGTCAGGTATTAAAAAGCACCAAAGAATCCATATTAGAGAGAACCCTTATCAATGTAATGAATGTAACAAAAATGTGTCAACTTTTAGAAGACATCAGAAAATTCATACTGGAGAGAAAGTCAACAAATGCCAAGAGAGTGGCAAATCCTTTAAGTTGGTTGCAGACATTAAAGACTATCACAGAATGCATCACAGAATGCATGTTAGAGAGAAAGGTTACAGATATAAGGAATGTAACATATCCTTTTCCAAAAGCTCAAACTTAACTCACTTCAGAGAACTCATTCTGGAGAGAAATCCTGCAAATGGAAAGAGTATGAAAAAAATCCTTTAAGTGGTTGTCAGCCATGAAAAGGCATCACAGAATCCACACTGCGGAGAATGCTTACAAATGTAAGGAATGTGACAAGTCCTTTACCCAGGCCTCAAACCTTAAAGTTCATCAGAGATGTCATGCTGGAGAGTAAACAGAAATACAAGCAACCTGAGAAATCCTTCACACAGAGTGAAAAACTTTGAGCACATTTTAAATTTCATGACAAATTCTTAGGCAATACAATGCCCTTACAAATCAAGACAAAATCGATACTAGAAAGAAATATTATTAACCTAAATAACTTGTGAAAGACTTTAAAGAATGTTTAAAATTAAGAAAACAGTCCCAAATTTATACTGAAGAAAAGCCCTACAAATAAAACACAATCTTGTAAAATCTTTAAATCAATCCAAATTCAGATGAAACTTAAAAGCACGAAGTATTTGATAAAAACTTCAATTATTCTTCCAATAGTGTTCACTGAATCCATACTGGTGAGTCTATAAATATACAGCAGAGTGTTATCCAAATGTCATGTATACTGGAAATTCAACACTCTAGAAAAACCTCCAAATGTAGAATTTGTCAAATTGTAAATGTGGGCATTGTCCATTTTGCTTATCTGAAGGAGATTTTACTCTGGACCACATCAACACAGATTAAGTTAAATGAGTGAGAGAGAATAAGCAGATCCTCCCTGAAACTGACAGTGGGCGAGGATGACTTTCTTTAGTCACTACTCCACTGCCAGTGGGGGCCCTTCCTTCCTTGTGTTCCTCCATTATATAATGACAGAATCAGTACTGGAAGGCTTAGCCCTTTTAGGTAGTTTCAGAGAGATTTCTGTAAATCAGTTTTTGTTTTTACTTTGAAGGCTTGTCTTAACCCTCTAAAGCAGACTTACAATTTACCTCTTTAAGCAAATGTCCCTCCTTTTTTTAAGGGAACACTTAGGAACCGTTTATATAAAGTCTTCCTCCTAACCCTAGAAAACTTTAAGGAAAACTTTATACTGAAGTATTTAGAAAATCTGAACTTGTGGCATGGACTTGTCCTCTGCCTGTTAAGCTGGTGGGGTGAGCAGTGGATGGATGCCTTCTTCTCAAGCTTGGATTCACCTGCTTGCTCCAGTCACCACAAATGAACTTTCCATAGGAAACAAAGGGCAGAGAGAGACCACTGTGACTTCCATCCAACCAGCTGACCTGAGTGGTACACGGGGGAGGGCCTAAGGATAGGGACAAGGGAATTCAGAGTGAGGGGATGGCCATCACCATCTTGGGCATCCACTGGGAGGAGAAGCCCTGGGGCTGAGCAGGGCTAAAGAAATGAGATTAGGAGAAGGAATGGAGCTGGAGACGTGCCTTCACTTGCTGCCCTTTGGCTGGCAGCAAATGCAGGATGAAGCAAAGACAGAGAAGAATTTGTTAAGTAGAGCAAGGTTACAATACGGGGGTGGGAAGAAAGGAGCCAAGGCACTTTTCTATTGGGGAAAGTTCAGACATAGAGAAGGGAATATGAACAGGGACTATGCCTTCAGTTCCCGCCATCTCCCTAATGGGTAGATTCTGTCTTTGCAGATAAAGTTTTAGCCTCCAGTGGGGATGAGGGTGGAGGAGCAGGAGGTTGAAGCTGTGAGTAAGGATAATGATTTGGGAGACATGAATTGGGTTGAGGAGGATATGGGTTATGCCAAAGTCACGGAGGGAGGTGTCTGGAATTTCATAATGAGGAAAGGGTTTTGCTTTTGCAAGAAGGATTTTGCGAGGTGACAGGAGGCACAAAGAGAAGGATGAGAATTAGAGTAAAGAAAGCTTGCATATATGAGATTTCTGATCATTTTTCTGTGGAAGTACAGAGATTGTCAAGATATCGGAGAATTTGGAAGTCAAATGTGCTGTTTTCTGACCATTGAGACAGATTATCAAGTTTATACTCTGACCAAGCCATATTATAATAAGAAATAAGCCAGTAAGGTTTAATGGTGTCCTTGAGTCCTAGTGGAGAGAGAGACAAGAGGAGACAGCAACAGGAGTGGCTGAATTTAATTTTGAGTGAGACTAGCCCATGACTCCTTGGAGAGGGAGAGACTCCCTTAAAGAAAGGATGGCAAAGGTGGATTCCTAAGACAAGGTTAGTGCCTAGATAGAGGTCGCTCAGGGGGGGCGTCTTACACTAACTGTGGGTGTTGGAGGACCACTAAGAGCAAAAGATTAAAGTGGAGAATAAGAAAATGAAAAATAACAATATGTATCATGGGACAGAGAGCATAACATGCTGGACAGAAAGGAGAAAGAACAGTGGAGGACTTAGGGGGAAGAAAGGAAGCAGGGAAAAAGATTGAATGTGTTGATGAATTGTGATCCTCAATCCTAAGGGCAACTCTTGTGGGTTAGGTTTTATGAGAGAAAGCCAAGATCACTAAGGACAGGCACCCCTAACTATGTGATGGTCACCCTGGAGGGTGTAGGGAGGCTGCGTACACCAGCATGACTTTCACACACACACACAAACACACACACACATGCACACACACACAGAGAGGAGAGAGAGAGAGAGAGAGAGAGAGAGAGAGAGAGAGAATAGACAGCTCTGAGAGGGAGACACCCACATTGCTGAAGGAAGGCAGTGAACAGGGTAGGAGAGAAGAAAGCATTTGAAGAGGTGAAATCGAAATGTGGGGGCCTGATGTCAGCAGAGGCAAATGATCTGCATCATGGAAGGATCAAGGCAGCAGTTTGGTTTGGTAAAAGAGGAACTATGTCATCAGGGGACCCAGGGTAGTTCTGGCAATTCTGGTAGTGTTTCTTTTATGTGTGACTTGTTTTTCTACTTCAGCTTTCAATATCCTCCTTTGTTCTGTACGTTTAATGTTTCTAGTATGATGTGCCATGGAGAGTTTCTTTTTCGGTCCTGCCTATTTGATGTTCTATGTGTTTCTTCTATTTGTATCTGCATGTCTTTCTTTAATTTTGGGAAATTTTCTTCTACAATCCTGTAAAGATCTGTTTCATACTGTTATTCTGAGATTCTTCTCCTTCCTCTATGCCCATGATGTGTAAGTTTGGTCTTTTTCTGGTGTCACATAATTCCTATGTATTCCATTCTTTTGTTTTCTAAAATTTTTCATGGTCTTTGATGGAGTGGTCTAATTTATCCACTTTATCTTCTAGTCTTTATTTTTTGTTTTCTATTTCATTCATCCTATTGGTGAGGCTTTCTCCTGTTGTTTCTAATTGGCTTACTGAGTGTTTCACTTCCTTCTTCATTTCAGCCTGAGTAT